GTTCACTGGAGTCCTAAGCCATGAGAAATGACCTTTTAACTCTTTCCATGACTTTGTTTCTCAGCTGCTTCTTTATATCATGTCATAGTTTGTTTTTAGATCTTTTAGCCTAGTTTACTTTATCAGACTTAAATTATTTCTTGATTTAACATATCTGGAAGTAATGAAGCCTGGATTTTGACTTGTGACATTTACCTTGTGAAATTACATCTTCCAGATAGGTTTGGGTATTTTTTCCCCTTAAGAAATAAAATCATCATTAAAAAATACTGGCGGCTGCAAGTGCTACCCATCAGCTTCCAACAGATGCACCTATGGTTTCAATTTCAAAATCCTACATCACTTCAATGTTGAGTTATCGCATTCACAAGACTTGACCTCTGACCTTATCCTTTAAGTTTATGTCACTTCAAACTCATCCTAAATTTTAAGAAGATGCACCTACAGTTTCAATTTCAAAATCCTACCTCACCTCGCTCGTGAGTTATTGCATTTAAAAACTCTGATGCCAAGGCAGCCGGTCATGTAATGGCAATAACCCATCAGCCTTTCACAGCTGAGGGTGAAAAACTGCTTTCTATTTTTTGACTAGCTATAGTTGAATAATATTGTAATTTGTTTGATGGGATGAATCTTTTAAATGTGACGATTATTTAAAAAGAATATGCAATCGGGAAGTGTGCAATTACCTCAAAGCACTGAACTTCTGCTATGATTGCAGTGAAGACCACCACACGTGATTCACATAATTTTCATACACAATAAACCACTCCATGACCCTTTCTGACCAGTGGATGAGTGCACTGTCATCATTGGAGCCATTCTGTTATAGTTTGAAGGACTTAGGACCCAAAAGCTTTACAAGCAGGCAGAAACTGTACAGGCAGGCAGGTTTAACTAAAGGCTCACCTTTAATGGTGGAAAACTGTCCAAAAATTCAGAGAAACAGAATACATGACAGTCAAACACATAAAAACAAACAACAGTGAGATAAACAGACATTGCAACAAACACAAAGGGCAACTGAAGCTATTAAAAACACAAAGGCCTAATCAGGTGAAAAGGCAGCAGTTGGCTGGACAGATGGAATAAGGCACAGACGGACGGAAATATAAGGCACAAGGAGCAAAAGACTACCAAAACAAAACAGGAGGTATAATAAGAAAAATCTGGCACAGGGATGGAGATTTGACAACAAATTACAGGGAAACACAAGGGAGGCAGAAAACCTGAAACCTAAGGATGTGATCTATACAACATAACTATGATCAAAGAAGACTAGATCAGAAAACTAAAGGTAAGAAAACATAAATATAAAACTGAGGCTACAAGGAAAATATTGTTAAATAGAAAATAAAACCCAAAGACTAGGAAATCAAACAGTAAATGCCAAAAACCCAGGGTCTGTGACACATTCACATCAGGATAGAAATAATTTAGTGCATTTCATAAAAATTCAAGTACTCACTCAAAACTTTGTATTGATTTGCAGCGACTCTAACCCTGCTGGGGTTCTCACAACGGCAGTCTAATTTTGTGAAGTGAACAAAAAACATAACCAATTGCACCTTTACTTTATACACAGTTCAAGTTATACTAAAATATGGCACAAACATTTCAATGTTAGTACTTTTATTAGAAAATATTTATGCATTCTAATCCTCCTGATCATTTCCTAAAAACCTTTAAAGCCTGAACCATGAAACAACTGCCAGAAAATTCAAATAAATTTGCATTTATAAGTTTTAGTTTTTTACTTTTGCTACATCTGGCATTTCTGTGCAATTTACTGCTCACAGTTAGTTTATCTTAAGTCAACAAAAACATATAAGGGAATTAAAGTTATGGTTAAAAACAATCACACTGATGACGCAGAGGCCTCAAAAACACATGTATCAAATGTGATACACTTGGCATTACTGTTGCTAATGCCAAGAAATTCAACATGTTGTCTCACAAATGGTAAAAAAATATGTATAAAGGAGTTAAAAAATGACAAAATCACCCTCCTTTGAACAAGGAGGTAAACAAACAAGAGCTGAAAGTAACACTTGCATTGCAAGAGGGACTGAAATTACAACGCAAACCTCAACACGCTACAGAGTGACTGATGACTGATCACCGGCGTGAAGGGAAATAAGGGCCGCTGCTGTAGCCTTCATTTATTATATTTCAGGCAGACATCTCACATCTGGAATGACTTATTCATTACAACAGCTGAATACAGTTATGAGTTTGGCATCAAGTCTCAGAGCTCATCAGTCCCTGCAAATATGATACAGATACAAATTTGGGAGAGATGAGAAAAAATTCCCCAGGAGCCCAGAGGTGAATGCTGGGAAGCTGGTGTAAGGGTTGAACATGTGAACATGAAAAATTCTGCGGCTTTAATAGACGGCCAAATTGATCTGGTATGTTTGAAGTGGAAACTGTCAGAGTGCAGCTCTCGACAAGCTCGCAAGCCTTGCTCCATTAGCGGGAGGGTTCATAACCACTCCACAGGCTCTCCTGTGCTGTTGTATGTTCCAAATAAATTATTGGTTTTGGAACTATTTTTTTTTAATGCGTGGAAATTTTCTTAATGCGTTACTCTTACATGTTCACCCATGCACTCATCTACTTGTTGAGAACTTGGTGAAGGATGACTCATCTGGCCTTCAAGCATGTTCTTACTGGCAGTCTGATCACGTCGTCATTGAGATTCTCACTTGACTGAGGGAGAATTGCTCTTCTGTTTTTCCTTTTATATCACACTGATGCATAAGAATAACTCAGTTGGCTTCAGTGCAGCTGTTTCTATTAAAACACTATCCAGGTGAGCGGTTTGTTTTTAAGTGAATCTCCAACAGTGAACCCTCTTTAAAAGTCATTTACCCATTTTCCTCTTGAAACAACGACGCCTACTGATGCTGTAATAAAGTCATAACTCACCTTATCTTTGTTTGCCTTTATCCTGGACATCACAGGTAAATATGTGCTGTAAGACAAGAAAAATTACAGGATTTTAGACCGTTGAAGTGTCTAAAGAAGGGTTGTCAAACATAAGGCCCTGGGGCCAGAATTGGCCCAACAAAGACTCCAACCCAGCTAGCCGGAGTGCTTTGGAGAATGTGAAGGATGGCATAAATTTTGGATTTCTAACTTTATTTTCATAACTTTTAAACCTCTTCTTACTAATAAAGACTTCTCTCATGACCATAACAGTCCTACTATAACAAAGTGAGTAAATAATAGATAAACAGAGTTTTTACAATCGTTAAAACAAAATTTGTTAAAAAATATAAACTTTCAGTTTTATACTTACAGGACAGTCTGGAGTTACCAGAACTCCTTCTGTAATTTTACACATTCACTTCTAACAATTTAAGCCCAAATCATGTATTACAGAAACATACTTTTCCATGTATTTTCCTTATATTAAGAAAATATTAATCTTAAGGATTAAATGTACAAATAAACTTCTCTATACTAATAGAAACGGGACTTTAGCTGGTGCAACCCACTTGAGATCAAAGTGGGCTGTATGGGGCCCATAATGTAAAATGAGTTTGATACCCCAGCTCTAAAGCATCCCCTGAAATGTTCTGCTGAACACCATCTGGCAGGTTACATGTTTGTAATGAAATGCCACTGATGATGTATAAAAATGAATGCCCAGTTTCCCTCCTCACCTGTATCAGGCAAAGTAATTAAAACCTCATGAACAGAGTTTGCAGTCATTACAGTGACTAATGCTCACCGTCAGCCTCTTTTTTTGCATCGTTCCCCACATCAGAGCTGTTAGTGACAACACATGATTTTTAAATAGAGGTGTGTGTGCAGTGCTGTGAGATGGCTGCATTTAGGCTGTGTGGATTGTAGCGCATCACAAATGGAAACAGAGACACATGCAAAAAAATGGGACGCTCTTCTTTCCTAAATAAAGAAGCTAAGAAACTTAATTTACACTCCATGGGAATTCCACACTCTGCCTGTGCATATGTTCACACACTGCATGATAAACTACTAGGCTCAAATTAAAACTAAATACATGGCAAACTACAATAAAGATAAAGATGTTTAATTAGAAAAAAGGTTTATCAAGGTTGTGGCCTCAGAGGCAGCATGTAGGGTATTTTTCAGGAGAGAATTTTTTGGCAACCCTCAGATTTATTTTTCATAAAGAACCAAAAGAAAATGCAGCAAAGTGAAGAAAGAAAAAATGTTTACACTCCACTGTTAATAGAGGTTTCCTCTACTTGAACATAGTAGAAATTTGTTAAACTTATTAAATGGTAAAAAAAAAGAAAGAAAAAGGAATAACATACATTATTTTCGAATAGGGTAACACAAACTCTTGGCCTTTGCAAAGTAATTGTGCTTACATGTACAACCCTAAGTGTGTCTCATTTAAAGAAAGAAGATGGTACAGAGAAAAGTGTTTCCAGAAATTCAAGTGGGCACAGTGGGGGCAAAGACCCAGTCAAGAGGAGCCTGTGGGAAATAAATATGCATCCATTTGATATTTGTCTGAAAATTCCTAAATATTTTAGTTGCGGACAGACCTGCAGCCTCCATAAACGTGCATTAGGAGACATGGCTGTCCTACAACAATATAGTCACTAAAGTGAAAGACAGGACTCTATTGTGGGAATCTGGTAGAAAGGAGAGTCTCACAGATCCTATTTAAGATTCACATACGCAAAGCAAATTTAATTTAATTCAATTTTATTCATCTAGTGCAAAATGACAGACCCTAGAACAATACTGAGAAAACCCCAGCTATCAAACAGCTTCCTTTGAACAAGCACTTGGTGACATTGGGAAGGAAAAACTCTCTTTTAACAGGAAGAGACCTCATGCTCAGGGACGGCCAGTCATCTGCTGCGAACACTATGAAGGTGGAAATCAACTTTTCAAGCCTTAAAAAACACAGTTTTTCATGGACCCAACAGATTTCTATGCATATCAGATTATTAGTTATACTTAAAACTCAGCATATATCAATTGAGTTGACCATGAATGCCACTGTATACCAAAGTATTCTGAGGTGAAACTGTCTGACAGCTAAAGCTTGGCTAAAACTGGGTGATGCAACAGGACAATGATCCCAAGCACAAACATCAAATCTAAAATAGAATAGCTGAAAAAGAAAAGAAAAGACCCGGTGTTGCAGAGGCCCAGTCAGAGTCCAGACCTCAGCCCAATCAAAATGCTGTATTGGCCCTTTAACAGGGGTTTGCATTAGGGGTGGGTTTTGATTATAGATTTATCAATTAAAATCGATTCT